AAGTTGGTGTAATGATGAAAAACGTAGTATCATGTAATGATACTATATTTACAAAAAAATGAATGATTTATTAATTAACAAAAAAGAATAATCTACAATAAAAATTGAACAAAAAAAACAAAAATAACAAAATCATATTGACTATTAATATATTGATAATTTCCTTGAACAAAAAACTTAGAACTACACAAAAATATCAATTAGTCAAGAAATAGAATGGCTATTTGATGGTGTCATTTTTAAATTAATATTGTTATGTTTTTTAAAGGATGGTTGATACATCTTTCTATTAAAATCAAAGAACTGTTTATGTTCAACTAAAACAAGAATTTCAACGACTAATACATTGACTAAATTTGTTATAATAGTTTTTTATATTAACTATCTGTAAAAAGATACAATAAAATATATGTTTATAGTGGCATTATTTAATGATGAACTTAAATAAGGATAGTAATGATAAAGATTATTCAAATAACAATAATATTTATAATTGGTTTTATTAAAACGTAGTAACAATTAATTACAATTATTATGTTTTTTTAATACTTTTCTTGTAAAAACCAGTTAATTTATAATAAACAATACAGACATTATTGACTAACTAGACATTTAGATATTTTTATAAAATTAAACAAATCATTTTTCAGATTTTTAGTTAATTTTATACAGAACTTTTATTTATTTTTAACTTCTTTATCTTTACAATAAATTAGGAATGATTTAGAATAATTGGGTTGTAGACTTTTTTTATTTTTAAGAATATGTTTATTTGTATAATCAATATTCAAACAGAAAATAATTACAGAAATATTACATTGCTTTTTCTCAGTGAGTTTTCGTATAAAACTTGTGGATTCTAGTTATTATTAATATATATTAACACACGTCTAGTTAGTGATTAAGTGAAAGATATTTATTGCTCAATTGCTAACAAAAAATAACTAACAAACCAAAATTACAAAACATTGATTTTATATTTCCATATTTTTAATAAAAAGATTTTGTGGTGTGTTTTGTTGGTTATGTGATTAGTTTAATGCATAATAATTAATTTGATATATACCTTTCATGCTGATTCAAAATAATTTTGCTCATGGCAAAATCGAATCAAATAACTAAAAATTTGCATAATCGATGTTTTGTTTAATAAATATATAAAAAGATTAAAAAACACATTAGGTTCATTTAATTATAATGGAACATTGAATGAGAAATATATATGTATAGAAATCATTTCAATAATAATTTTTGGTAACAAAAAGATAAATAAAGAATTTTCTTCATTTTTTAAAGAATATTTCTCAAAAACATATTTTTAATAATTATTGAACCTGACTCTGAGAAACTTATTTTATCAATAAAATATACAAAAATAGTATTTAGAATATTTTCTTTAATAATGTTCAAATATTCTAATTGATATTCATTCAATTTCCTGCTTTATCAATAAACAAAGAAAAAAGGACAAAAATATTCAGAATATTTATAAGATTTTTTTGGTCCCAAGGAATAGAATTAATACAAATACACAATCATACATAATATTTTGATGAAAGAAGAAAAGATTCTATTGAAACTAGACAGAAGATAGGAATGTTTTTTAATAGTATTATTCTCATTCACGTGATACTGTATTTTATTATTTAAACTTGTTTCAATACAGCAAATAATATAATTAAATTTTGTAACTTGAATTGTTTTGTAAACAATGTTTAATAAAAAAATAAAATTTCAGTATTTATCTTAGGAACAACTTTTAAGAGATATTACTTCCAAAAACCCTTCCTTATTATATAAACGGTTGCAACAAATCTTATTCTTTAAAAGAATATAATCAATGAGGATAAAAATGTCAGTCATTTATATTGTGGGAATGTCCATTTTTTCCTTAATCGTTATTGTAAACATTGCTTATATGATTATTAGACAACCAAAAAGAGTTACTCAATTGCATAAAAGATTAAATACAATGTCTGAGATTAAAATACCGTATAAAGACGAATTATTTGATTTATCTCATTTTAACTATGATGGAGAATGTGGAAAACTATTTAAATATAAACCTAACAATCAAAGAGATTTATTAATTTATGGAGTATATTTTTCTGATAAACAAACATGGTTTAAACAAAAACAAACTACTATGAAAGCACTTTCATTAAATCAGCATGGAATTCCAAATGCTAAAAAGGTTTTGATGTTAGGTGGACAAGTTCCAGAAGTCAACTTCACTTCCTTAATGAAATCAAAAGGAGTAGATGTTATTCCAGTAAAAGTCGATTCATTATATAACGGAGCTGTTCTTAGATATTTTGTAATACAAAAATACCTTGAAGAAAACAAAGAAAAATATGATAGGGTGTTTGTTGCAGATCTTAGAGATGTGTTTTTCTTTGAAGACGGATTTTCTACATTTTCAGATAAACAATTATATTTAAGCAACGAGTGTTCTAGAACTAATAAGGGTGATATAAAATGTGCTTCTCTAGCATTGAAGATAACAAAAATATGGATGCAAAAAAGTATTAATAAAGAAGTTGCAGAATTATATGCAGCAAATAAAACTAAAATTATAAATTCAGGAACAATTTTTGGTGGAACTGAACATGTTCTTCGTTTACTTCAAATATTTACTTCTCATTTTAATTACCAAAGAGTTAATATATGGGGATATGATCAGTCATTATTAAATTATTTATATTATAGCGGTCAATTTAACTCATTAAATATTACAATTGCTAATTGTGATCAAATGTTTTGTTTTGATATGAGAAATGGTTGTTATTACAATAAAAAAGAAAAATCATTAATAATGAGAGGTTCTAATTGTTCACCAATTATTAGACATAAAATTGTCTCTAAAAATCCCTATTTTGACTTGTCCTAAGACTTATCATAAAACTCAATTAAACATTAATTTATACAGTTGATTTAAGCATGTTTTTTATTATTATTTTATAATTTTTAAAGATTTTTTCAAATTTTTTTTGTAATTTTATTTTTAAATCGCTAATATTTAAATAAAGCAAAATATTTAGAAATTTGTTAGTAAAAATTAATCAGAAATTATTTGTGTCTTTCTATTTTAAATCTATTATTCCTCTTCAAAAAGCACTATCTTTTATTATGTCTCTTTTTAGAAATATTGCTTTTGTTCACCAATAACTATCATTAATCCTTTGAATATCATTACTTTATCTCATCCTTACAAAGGTTTTGAAGATTCAATAATAAACTCATATAAGAAGAAATAAATTATTATCCTAACAAATAAAATATCAACCAAACTTTTAATCCAACAAAAAGTCAATGACTTTTTTATATTTATTATAAGGTTCTTTTTGGAATTTGTTTATATTTTTGTCGCAAGTTGTCAAAAGGTTATGAGAATATATTAGTTTTTTGTAAATAATAAAAAGAATACAGCAAATTCAAAATGCTTTTTGTTTTTTTTTTCTTTGTTAATTTTTCTTATTCTGTCGATTCATGTACTACTCTTAATTCAACATTCTCCCAGAAAGGAACTTCTCTTCTTGTTTAGAAAAATGTCTTTTTTCAATATTAGTATAGACACAAACCTTCGTTATAATATATGACTGTAGTATATAAATTAGTCAGAGTTTTGAACCATATTGTTATTGAGTTTTATGTTGAAGCTTTAATAAAAAGAATATGTTGTTTCTTTTTATCATTTAATATGCAAACAACTATAATATTGGGTTATACTCTTTAAATTTTATAGCTCATACATTGAATTTTTATTGTCCATCCTATCTCATAAGTCATTTATGTTTGTAGTAGTTCTATATATATAATTTATTAAATTAATTTTGTATATTGTTTTGATGTAAATGTTGTTTTGTTTGTTAGATTAAGTAATGTCCAATAATACTTCTCTTATCTAATGTTCAAGTAAACAAGTACTGTTACTGATTTCGTTATTTCTTCTGTAAAAATAATTGTATGAATAAATGGGCAATTCATAAAACATTAATTTAATTATAAATCTAATATTAAGTCATTTGTGAAATTTTTTAATTTAGTTCATTCATTTAATGACATTCAACTGATTCTAAAACTTTTAATTACTGATAAGTATCATTTTACTTTATTTTTATTATTTTTAATATTACTGTATTAAATATCGGAGTATTTTATTTTCAAACCATATTTGTATTCTTATTAAGTCATATCAAAATTACTTATATAAGTACAATTATATTTAGTATTGTCGTTCAAATGAAAAGATTTTTATTTGGTTTATTTTTTTAATACAAGTTTGTGCATATTTCATTGTTGTTGTGAATTAAATGATTTTATTATTTATTTTTTTAATTTTCTTAATCCTTTTAAATAATTTATTCTTTAATTTGTATGTTATATTTCATTCCTCTTTTCTTTTATACAAACTTTTTATGATGAATAATACTAGATTATGTATTAGAATATATTTTAATTTATCATCTATTATCTTTTTATTGAACTGTTGTATAATCATTTCATTCTATTTTTATTTTATAATCTCTTCAAATATTTGTAATATGTTTAGTATCAGTATGATGTGTTTGTATAATAACCGAGTTTTATTGTTATAGCTGTTGTGCTTTTATAATTTAATTATTTCTTAAATTTCTTCATATTATTTACTTGTTTTTTGTTCATTATATTATTGTATTGTTGGTTGATAATTTAGATATTATATTCTTTTTTAAACTAATATAAAATTAAACCAACAGCTCTTGTCAATGAATGGACTTAACATTCTTTTTATATTAAAACTATTTTATTTGATTTCGTATTGTTTATCGATTACTAATGATCAATTGTTAATATTTCTTTTTTAGTTTGTTTACTCTACTATATTCAGTAATTTTTGAAGTTACAGTACTTTAATAGTTATATCTTATATAATTGAGTCTTATACTTATGTTTGATTCTTTTATGCTTTATGTATTATTAGACATATTGAGTGTTTTATCAATACAAGTAATTTGTAAATAACACCTCTATGAACATATATATTAATAACTTTGAAATAGAATTATATTGTTAATGAAATATAGCTGTTGTATTAATTTTATTTCATCAAATACACATTATCATTTGAATAATATACTTTTAATAATAACCACTTAAATAACATTGTGAATATTCTAACATTTATTACGATTATTTTTATCATTAATAACACACTATTTATTATATAAATACATATGACTATTACATTATATTCTTTTGTTTTATTTTAATACATTTTTTTCAATACAAAGAATATAACAGTGTTTAATATCATTGGTATTGAGTATTATTATTATTGTAAAGAAATGAATTTATGA